CCACTCGGTTTGTGAGGCAGACTTCTCCTGCCCTTGGAAGGGACAGGTTGCACTATGAGCGTCTTAGTTGCCCAAAGCCCGACCTCGCCATTTCTGGTTCTTTCCGCCTTGTTGGCTTTTTTTCCAGACGACCCAAAATGTCAGCTAGTGTCCGGGCAAGGGAGGACATGTGGCTTAAGCAGCCGGACTTTGCGCTTTCAAGGCATGCTTAACCGGCGTTTCTCTGGCGAACAGGGCCCGCAGGCTCTGCTTCCAATTGTTTCCTGGGGACCTGGCAACAAAAGGAGTTCCATTTCCGGGCAACGCGTGTCAGCGACTGCTGCAGAAAAGCATCACACAGAACTGCAGGTTGAACAAGTCGCCCCCTGAACAAGTGCACGCCTTGCAACAAGCTGGATATGACCGCCCATCTCTTCAGGGAAGCCGCGCAGGCTGCGCGCACCCGTTGGATTATGCTCTCTTGCTTTTCCCGAAAGCAAGGTCCGAGAGTGAGCTCCGCATATGAGACAGACCCATGCATGCAAATACGCAGATACTTGTTACTGTTGGTGGCATGTACGTGGAAGTCACAGATGCCGCCAGTGAAGTAGGCTGAATTCATACAAGAGCTTTTGATCTGTTTGATGCGTGTGCACAAGCGGCTGCAAGTATGGGGGTCCTGTTTGAAAACCAACTCTTGTTGATCTTCCGTCTCATTGTGAGACTTCCCCGCGCCTTGCCGGCTAGATTGCGTTGGTTGACGAAGCAATGCCCGAGGAAAGTGCAGTACCCCGAACTTCGAAAGGCCAGATGGGGTGATGGACAGTTCTCCTTCAAGTCGCCAAGCCGAGCTTTCCTTTTTGACTTAGGCTGACTCACAGAGATTTATACAAAGAAACCACAGGGGCAACCCTCCTGGATCAGGGTTCACTTCTTCGCTGCTGGTCATTTTCCCTTTCAACCCGCACGGTCTTCACTGCCGGATCACTTGGGACCCGGGCGCGGGTGTCCGATCCCAGTTCACCGGGGGCAAGTTGGACCAGACGTGACTTAGCCCCCCCCCCCCCGAAGCGCCCGCAAGAGGATGACGCTGTCCATGTTTCTGGGACTTCCCCCCCCATTTTTTGCCACCTCACCCCTTGGCGGCTGAAAGCCCGAGCGGCTGCCGTGGACCTGGTTCACGATCCTCACATTGCCAGCCAGCTTGAACTCGAGATGTTTTGAGGATGGTTTGCTGGCAAAATCTAGCACACCTGACGGTTTGGTAAGCTGATAAGGAGCCTGCTGACCTGTGCGCATGTGTCAAGATGAGACCTCACGAATAGTGGCTTCCATTTGGCTCCCTTTGAAACCAAGGATGTACCGACGGCCGCCGCTTCGGCGCGTCAGGAGATGGCCTCGGATTTCGCAGTCTTCAAGACCATGGGCGCGCAGATCAAGCAGATGGCCGCGGGCTACGACCTCTTGTGGGTCGTGGAGGCCGTGCAGTTAAGACGAAGAAAGGGAAATTGGGCAAACTGACCGGGGAGCGCGGTTGTTACAAGCAGGTGAGCTGGAATGTTTTTGCTGCTGGCCCTTTCGTTGGAAAGTGCTGGGAAGTATGCGAGGTGTAATGTATGCTTGTTGTGCGTGCGTGTGTGTGTGTGTGTCGAAATGGCGGCACAGCAAAAAAAAGAGGGGTTTCCTTTTGGTTCTGTGGCGCCCTGAACATCCCTTTCTGTTGGGTGGGCGTTCAACTAATACTCAAGCCGTAAAATGGAGTCCCTTTTTCTACCGAAGTCGCTGGGCAACGGGACTCCATTCTGATTGCTGAGTGCAACGAAATGTCTAGTGACTTAGTGTGGCATCGATGTATTGCCACTATTTTTTGAACAGCCAGCCCCAGAATTTGACTGAGTAATTTGCAACCAAGGTTACCAACGCTTGCTTGACCGATGAATGTCACCGACATGGGTCCCAAAAAGGGTTTGTGTTTCGGACAACCTGACCCTTCAGTGGGCAGAAAGGTGAAATGTCGCAACAATCCGAAACGAGGAAACTTAGGGCACTCTGCTGCGGTGCGGGATGGGTGGTGGGTTAATGAGTTAGTGGGGTTGCCTTAACGGGTTTCTGGTCCGACCCATGCACTAGGAGAACGGCCGCACACCAGTAATAAGGGAGAGAAGCAAATATAGGTGTTTCTCAAAATGGGATATGAAACAACCACCTGTGTTGTTTCTTTTTCTTGGCCCACATCTGGGGCACACGAAAGCAGTGTTTTCAAATTCTGTTTTGATATTCAACCTCCCCTAGTGTTGGTTTTCCACAAAGGCGTCCACCATGCTCTGGAGATTTTGAATACCCGGCAATGTTACAATATTATCGGGAGGGGCTACCCAAACCCACCAACCTGCAAAATTGATTGGCCTCGGGACATTGCCCGTTTCTTTCATTTTTGTTTTCGTCGCATAGTCACATTGGGTTCAGGAGTGCTTCCTTGCAAATCAGCATGGAGCTCGAAACGGGGAGGTTCCCTGAAGGAGTTTCCTCCCCAAATGCTGTGTGTTTTAGTTAGGGTGGGCCTTGCCCATCTTTTTGTGGTACCCGAGCGTGACCCCCACCCTACGCAAGAACAGCATTTTTCAACCATTTTTTCACTATTCAAATCGTCATCCTTATTCATTATGCATATTTCCACTCAAAACATTTCATAACAGTCTCAACCTCAAAATCCATCAAAAAAGTCACATTTTCTCATTTTCTATTCCATCATTCTTGTCATTGTTAGGATGCTTGTGGGGAAATAGAAGTATAGGGTGGTTCATATGATATGGTTATTGATGGTAGGATGCATGGGCAAGGTTAAGCTCATTCATAAAAAAAAAAAAAAAAATCAAAAATAATATTTCTCAAAAAAAAATAATATTTTCAAAAAATAATATCTTCAAAAAAAAAATCAAAAACTAAATTTTCAAAAAAAAAGTAATATTTTCAAAAAATAATATCTTCAAAAAATAAATTTTCAAAAATATTATTCCAAAATTTATGATAAATTATCTTACAATATTTTTATCATATTTTTTTGTAGAAATATTATGGGCAAGGTTAGGTAGATAGAATTTTATAACTTAAGTTCAGGATAATAATTCAATTGATAACCATTAAATTGTGTATATATCTTATCTCTTTCATGCATCATTTTAAAAATAATATTAATATTTCTGACGGTATTTATCATTTACAACTACAATTACAACGACAACAATAAGGAATGATATTTTCTATTGTATGAGTTAATTCATTATCTTTTCGTTGTGCTGTTAGATTTGTAATGATATTACCATTTTTCATATCAATAGTAAAACCACATCCGCAGTAATTGCATTGATTATTTATATTGTCTAAAAACCACTGTGTATTTACATAACCTTCTTTAGATATGGTTCTTTTTGCTTTCCTGTCCTGTTCTTTGTAATTTAATACTTTCCTTTCAAAATAACTCATAATACATTTTTGATTAAATACATCATCAATATCTTTTGTATATTTATAAAATTTAACTTTGTTTAAATCTCTACACCTTGTAATTGCAGTCCATATCCATTCTGGATAATTCTTTACCAAAAAATGGTTATAATCAAAAATTGTTATGGTATCATCAATGCTACTGCCTTGGGCAGAATGACAAGTTGAGCAATATGCAAATATAAAATTGCTTCTTATTTTAGCAACTTCTACGGATTGTAAAATTTCGGTTTTGACATTCTTTAATGTAAATATTCCATCGCTTCCGATATGAACTATTTTATATTTGAAATTTACATTAAACACTGATGTTTTAGTTTTAGTATATTCCCTACATGTTAAATATTCGCCTACTTCGTATTCATCTTTTCAATTTTCTAATTTTCTAATTTCATTTGAGACATTTTTACAAGTTGTATTTAAAAATGCTATGTTGTTGTTAGAATTGCTTATGTCAGTTGTATATTCGAAATATTTTTCAATAACTTTCATAATAGGTAATTTATTTTCAAAAATATCAAATTTAATATTTCTTAGTTTATCCTTATCTTCCTGTGTGTTAAGTCTCTTACATTCTTTTAACAAAATATTATATTCAAAAATGTTATCTATAATATTATCAGTATATATTTCATAGTCTCGAGTATTTGTTATCTCTTGAACTGGTTTTAATTGCTTGGTGTCTCCCGTTGCTATTATAATTTTGTTGTGTTTATTCTGCTCTACAAATTGTTTTATTCTCCAATATATATTTAAATTACTGAAATAAATTTCATCAAATACGATTACATCAAATTCTGTAAAATCAAATGGTTCTAATTTTGCATCGCCGTAGTTTATTCCAAAAAACTTATTTATAGTCATTGCTTCACCTTCGAATGCCTGTAATAATTTATTAGTAGGACAAATAAATATTACCTTATATTTTTATCAACCATTTTTTGACATATATATGATTTTCCTGTGCCCGGTAGTTCGCCCCTGATCATAATAGGGTTATTCTGTTTAACAATCTCTATAATGTTATCAGTGTCGTATTCATCTTTAATATCAATAGTTTTACTTTCATGAACTGGTATTTTTATTAGATCATTCTTAACAACTTCATATTTTACAGTAGGAAGATTAATTTCATTGTCTCGCCCAGAAACTTTCCAACCTCCTATATCATTATGAAATTCTAATAATTGCTTTGCTTTCTCTACATTGTATGAATCAATTACAAAAGCATCGGTTTTCACACTATATACATTAATATCGTTGATTATTAATTTGTAAATGTCTTGGTTCATTTTAAAATTATGATGTTGCATGAGTAGTTCTTTAATATATCTATAGCCGTTTCTTAATACTGCTTTATCCCTTAATTTTAATATATAATATGAGGCTGTTATATTTCTTTCATCTAGTTCACGTGTATACTCTTCATACTCATCCTCACGCTCTTCGTCTTCTGTACCTATACGTGATAACCTATGAATTTTGCCTTCTATCTGTGATAACTTATGAATTTTGCCTCCGTATTCTGTTTGATAATGGATTGCTTCATCAATACTCTTAAACAAAATGCTTTGATGCGCGGTAGCCTCTCCCTTCTCTAATGATCCAAAATTGACATTTGCTATTAATTTTTTACTTAGTATATCTATGTCCCTATCATCATCATCATCATCTTCATCTATAGTAGTTTTCCAAAGTTCATTAACCATATCCTTATAGTTTGTTTTATGAATAAACGAAGGTTGTTTATAATATAATACTTTAATATTATATTGATTAATAAACTTTTTTAAAAACTTACCATAAACTAAATTATATTTTTTATTAAACATTAAGCCCCCTTTATTCCCCAGTAACGTTTTTGTCATTATGAATTCAACTTCTTCTTTTGATTTAAATTTTAAACTTTCCTCCAAAAGATGTTTACGTTTAATACGTTCCATACTGTATTTATTTGGTATATTCGGATAGTTAACTTCAATATAATATAATGTTAGATCGTGGAGTTCATCAATATTAATTGCATCATTGTATTCTTTCCAATTGTCAAACTGATTAAAAACTGGTATTTCAGTAATATCTATGAAACCTTTTGTAAATGCCTTATTTTCATCGATTTCAGTTTTACACATTAAATTAAATTTATCCCATAATAATCCCGAAGGTGCTACAGTCCTTGTTCGTTTAATATTTTTATATCAATGTCATTATAAAAAGATTTGTGAGATAAAATAAATACAGATTTATTAAAATTAAACATTGCTTTATTCATATTGTTGTACATAGTTTCATTATTTGCTGCGATCCAACCATCGCTGGATGATTTAATTAAATTTTGAGTCTTTATGATATATGTTATCTTGTTAAATTTGACTCTAATTTCATCAATAATACCTGTGTATTTAATTCTGGGTTCATATCCAATATTTATCAACTGGAAAAATATTTCTGCCAAATCATTATCTTCGGGTACTAAATATACTTCCCTTGTTTTATCATCAGTTTGTATTTTGAGTATATCATCTATACATTTAATCATTTTGTATTGCGGGGGTTCCTCTCTTTCATTTATATAATAATCAGTGTGTGCCTTTATAGTGGGTAGTTTTGATATTACTTGTTTTTGTTGTATTTTGCTTAAATCGTGGTTTAATGTATAAATATGGTTATTTTTCACCATAGCGTAAAATGTTTTAATATGACGGTTTCTTATTTTTGGGTTATATTTGTAAATAAGTTCATTTACAAAATTAAAAATTCTAACTTGAATATTAAACTGCTTAAATACTGCTTCCATTTCTTGAATGGTTGCTCCTACTTCCATAAAATCAGTCCTACCTATGATTTCAATAATTTTATCTCTGGTTAGTCTGTTGCGGGTTCTTTCATTCATGATTGTATCACTGTAAAAATCAGTTAATGAATTTATCCAACATTCATTTTTAATATAATTGTTTTGTTTAATTGCCTTTCGT